TTCACCACTTGCACCTATGCAGCGAGGACCGCATATGAGGACCGATTGGAAAATCGTGAAGCCAACCGAGAGGCTAAAGAGCGTGCAGGGCTGCCACCTCTTTCTCGAGCACAGTCATCGTCGAGGTTTGACAACCTCCCTAGCCTCTTCGACACAGATTTAGAGGATGAGGAGGAGGAGGAGAGGAGCAGCCAGAGCTTGACCCTCACATGAGGTTGAGCTCCACCTTGCAGTTCCATGAGGAGAAGCACCAGGCGTGAGCATCACACTTCAACCACCCATCACCAAGGGAGGGCGGTGGTGTCCTCTTCCTCCTCCGACGATGATGATGATGATGGTGGTGAGGAGGATGTTATAGGTGCTAGTGGAGTTGCTGGTGTGGATGATGTCGATTGGGACACCATCTAAGAAGATGAGGAGTGAGTGTTGGTCTTTCTTCTTTTCTTCTCTTTTTGGTGCTTTATGCCAAAGGATGAGAAAATTAGAGGGGTCAACAACTTTTTTGTCGCTATGGAGAGGAGGTTGCTACAGCTAGAGCTTTATGTTCTTATCCGTTTAGAGTAGACTTCGTTAGGTTGAGAGTTTGAGAGATGATTTAAAACTTTATTTATGTAATAATGCTACCTAAGTACTTTATATGTGTGGGATATGGACATGAATTAATCTGTGCTGTAGCTGGTGATAAAATTATGCTAGAATGTATATCTTTATATGTGTTACATGCTGTGTGGTGCATGTTCTTATCTGTGTGTTGTAGCAAGTGCGATAGTGCTGCACCCAGGAGCGACAGTGCCGCACCCAGCTGTTAAAGCAAAACTTGTTTGTCATGAACTGTCATTCGCATCACGTCTACATACCTGACACAGTATGCAGCACCCCATATGAGCATGGATGTAGCGGGAGCCCCATCACTTTCACTAAAATTTGAATCTTGGTTTCTTGTGCCAATTTGAGAATTCAATTCTTTGTTCACACATTTAGGGGGAGGCTCTACACCCATGGCTCAAAAATCTCAGTATTCATTTTATATCTTTTGTAAGTTCTAATTGGGTTGTCATCAATCACCAAAAAGGGGGAGATTGAAAGTGCAATCAAGCCCTAATTATGGGTTTTGATGATAATGACCATGCAATTAGAGAACTAATGAGATTTATCGAGATGACAAGCAGGGATTCTATATTCGAGGATGTTACACGAAACGGAGGAGCCCCCAAATACAAATGTCGATGGCTTCAAATTTAAAGAAGATTTAAATTCTTTTATATTTTGAATTTGAGTATAAGAAAAGCCGTACTATAAAGGGAGACACAATGCTTAAGCTAACATGTGCTACCAAGTGCTTAATCTTACACATACATCCTCGGTTACTCAGCCAAGATAGTCAACACTTCACTCTTACCCTTGATGTCTTGCCTAGTGTGGCAGTGCCGCACCTGGAGAGAGGCACTGCCGTAGTGCGGCACTGCCACACTTGAGCCGTGGCACTATCACGACTTAAGTGACCGTTGGAGCTGAGGGTACTTATACCTTTCCCCTTCCTCCCTAACGTGGCTCTTCTCTCTCCCACTCATTTAGCTCGTTCAAGAACAGAAGAGTGCACTTCTCTCTCTCCTCTATTGGTGACCTTGAGCTCTTAAGCATTCTCCCTTGATTTCCCCATCAATCCTTGAGAGAAAAATATCCCAAACTCAATTAGAGAGTAGATCCTTTGATTCCCCAACTCAAAAGAGCACTTCGTTCACGTTTTGGCCGACGGTTGTATTTATTACTCTTGGAGCTTTGCTCCTAGCTAGCTAGAGCGTCGCCCGTGGAGCTTGCCAACTTGTGTGGCAGCCCTGAGAGGTTTTGTAACCACCTCTTGAAGCTAGTAAACTCACCCCTCATCTCAAGAGTTGAGTCTCTTGACTTGAGAACGAGGAAGGGTTGTAAAGCCCTAAGCCTTAGTGACTAACCTCAACAACGTGGACGTAGGCAAGCCTTAGTGACGAGCTGAACCACGGGTTAAATCATCATGTCACCTTGTGCTTGATTTACATAATTTGCATTTCATATTGTTGTTGAGGTAATTCCTAGGGTTTGTGATCAATCTACTTGTGTGTTGTGCTCCTACCACTTCTAGCTCTCGATCTATGAATCTCATACCTGCAGGAAGCTAAGAAATTTCTTCGATTCAAGTTTACATTCACTGATTTTGAACTGTAACTCGAAGTTGTCTGCAGGTGCGGCAGTGCCGCTGTTCTGGCCTGACAGTGCCGCTGTCCGGCAGTGCTGCGAGGTCAGAGCGGCAATGCCGCAGGTTAAATTTGATAAAAATTTAAGTATTTGTTTTGACAGGTCTATTCACCCCCTCTCTAGGCTAACCAGAGATCATACACTCCCGCATGCCTTCCTCTCCACCGCACCTCCCGCCAGCCTTCATCTCCACCGCCGCATGCATGTACCACCACGGCGTGCTCCCCCACGACCACACAGTCGATGCCGCCTCGCAGCGCGAGGCTGCACCCACCCAATTGCTGTGGCGCCTCCACTGCAGGCACCGCTCGTCTAGGGCACCGCACGCGCCCTATCTCCAGGGGCAACGCAGTCGTCCGCCTGCTGCCATCCTCCTTCTCCATCGCGACTGCACGGGCTGATCTCTCTGTGCAGTGCTCCGCCCGCCTGCTTACCTGGTTTTGCTGAAAGCGCATGTTGCAAGCGTATGTTTCAAGTATTTCAGATGTTTCAGAGGTATGTTGCAATTGTTTCAGATGGATGTTGCAAAAGTAGATCGGGATGTTGCATATGTTGCAATGGTTGTATACTTATGTTGCAAAGGTCTGTTACCAATGTTTCATCTGTGTTTTGGGATGTATGCTGCAAGTGTGTTTATCTGAATGTTGGGCATATATTTCACACATATGTTCTAAGTGTTTTATCTGGATGTTGCATATGTTTGCAATGATTTTCAAGTGTTTTCATGAGTTTTTTTTCAAGTGTTTCAGAAGCATGTTTCAAGTGTTTTATCTGTCTTTTTTTTTATGTTGCAAATGTTGCATCTGGATGTTTCAAAAGTAGATCGAGCGAGTGTTGTGGATCTCCATCTAGTTGGTGTGGATCAGATTTTCGACGGTGTTTCTCGACTCCACGGTGGTTCATGGTGGCGGGCAGACCATGCCCCTGCAGCAGTGGTCTGCGGCGGCTTGAGCAGCTCGTGCAGATGCCTCCGGCACGTGGACCCCGTGTGGGCGTGAAATGGTGTGGAAGCGGACTATAGGTGCGGACAGCGCTAGCGGTTCTCTCTGGACAACGCCTACGCCTAGCAAGTACGGGGCGCACGGAACTGTACACCGTACAGCATTGTGCCGTCGAGGCACCGCCCGCCCACACGGCGAGCGCATTGCATAGCGTTTGGTGCCGCGAGGTCTACTCGTTTGCTCCGTTTCACTCTGATTTTACGTGTCTGCCGGCGAGATCAAGTACAAATTGGCTCTGTTCTTGGCTAACGAAGCTGCCTGTTGTCGACCCAACCGAGAGCACACAGCCTGTTTCTTTCGTAATACATGTCCAGCTACGTGTAATTTGCCGTACTAAGCTGCGGTCCCGGTCTAAAAGACGAGACGGCCAACGAGATCGTCACATTTGGTGAAGGTGGTTGTGGCGTTCCTGTCACTGCGAACACAGCACCAAAGTCCAAACGAATATTGGTCTGCTGATAAACGCTGATGAGCTGAAGCCCAACACTGCTCCCTTGGATTTTCAAGGGGGCTCCAGAAACGAAACAGCAGCAGTGCGGGCTGCAGCGATGCATCACCACTCACCAGTTTTCGTGGCTGGATGAGTACTCGCTCGGTCCGTGAAAGCATGCAATCCTATTATGTTGCCTTTGTCAAGAAAGCATGCAATTGTAACCGGTGCATAGCAAGTTTGTAGGTTCGTAGAATGTCTTATCATGGTACCTGTTGTAAAAGAAATGAGCTGCCCACTTGTTGACGTGATTTTGTCCACATGTTGTTCTCTCTCGCCATCCGTCTGCACTCCTCATGGCAGACTGCAGGCTTTTTCACTGTCAACACCACTAGAGGTACATGTGTAATCATCCAATTCTGTTGAGTTCATCTCAGGAAGCTAGAATTGCTTCATTTCCCGGATAGAGGGAGTACAGTGTAAGAACAGGAACTTCAACTGCTGGCCTGGACATTAGGACCGGCCGAGACATGCGGCAGAGACAGGCCGATTTGAACATTAGGACGAGAGTCGAGAGAAAGATTCTTACATATCACACTCAAAAGAGAAACGCGTACCTAGATCTAAGCGGAATTTGACATGTTGCAAGTGACAGTGTGACACAAGCAAAGGTGTGCGATGCAATAACAATCAGCCTGATCGGCTGGGTTTATTGCCTCGTAAACGATCGTAAATTTCCAGCCGAAACAGTATTTTTCTCTCACAGCAAACCAGCCAGCAATACTTCTTCACGATCCAGCAACGAACAAGCCCAGCCAAACGAACAGGCTGAATATAATGGCTGGAAGTTCACCCCGAGCAGTAACTCTTCTGTCAATCAGTATTCGCAGTTTGACCAGTCCCAATGGGAGTTTCATGACTTTAAATAAGCTGACATGGCATGAAATAGATGAAGAGAGATGATAAAAGTTTCATGAGATAAAACGAGTTTCATGGGGATGAAACTTATCTACATTATTTTCAACACACTGAGTCAAATTGGGACATGAAACCCCAAAGACTGGCCTTAGCTAATTGGAAGTTTCATAGTTCAAGCAATTTGAAACGGTGTCTGTACTTGCCTGCTGGCCACATTGCCCGCTTGCTCTGTGTGTGTGCGTGTGTGTGTGTATATATATATATATATATATGCCCAAGGCAAATCGTTTCTGAAAAACTGATACAGAAAGAATTCTGGCATACAAACTACGAACATATACACAGCAAAACTTATGTCTGCTCCTTCAAGATTCAGCGTTTGGAATCTTCATCTGGATGTTCTGTACTGTAGAGGGAGTTCACTTAGCACTTTTGTACATGTTGTCAATCACGCCCTGCAAAATTGGAGGATACAACTCAGAAAACACTCTCCTGTCTCACTGCAGCACATCACAGAGCCATAAACAAGCAAAAGAATGCTAATAAAATGAAACAATAATAGCCTCAGAGGTATACAATAATACAAGCATCACTATTGTAATTGTAACAGGCGAGTATCATGAGATGCTATCTCGTTCATACAGCTTAAACTAATTCAAGGACGTTTCAACAAACACACTGTTATGCTTGCTATAAACAGAATTTACTGGACCAACTTTGCGCCAATAGTTCAAAAAGAAGTACCTGGTAGTACTTGAGCAGTTGCGGACGCTTCTTTTTGTATGTCGGAGTGATCAAATCACGGTCCATGTCAAACGGTACTGGTTCCAGGTGCACATCTTTTATGAATTCAAAACCTTTGAGCTGAGGAAACAAGTCGGGTTATGATATGTGCATCAGTAGCAAGCAGACAAGAATCGTTGGAACAAGCAAAACAAAAGAACAATCATATTCCTCACCTTCTTCTCTTTTCCTATTCTTGACAGTTCTCCTAAAATGTATTCTTTTGCTTTTGGATTCTTGCACAAGGACTCAAAATCACCACTTATTCCATTTGCTGCAGCCCAACTCTCGAGAGCCTCCTTGTTGGGATTGACCACAGCAACAAGGAAGGACTCAAAGCTGTTCCCATATACCCATATCTAAAAAAAATGTTCAAAAAGATTGAAGACAATTCAAGTTCCTTCAGCAGAACAACTAGGACAGAAGTATAAGCAAAACAATCCAGTTTTATTAGCATTTCATATATAGAACGATGTTACAGAAAAATTCAAAATACCAGAGAATTAAAATGTTGAGCATTACATACCGAGTCTAGAGCAGAAACAAGGCCGTAAACATTCTCCAAATTTTCAACCGCCACATATTCACCCTGTGAAAGTTTGAATATATTCTTTTTGCGATCTATGATTTTCATACATCCATCAGGTTGCCACTCACCAATGTCACCTGCAACAGAACATGGAGATGTGTCAGATTTCTGCTTGGTTGAAGCACAAAATAGGAAATTCTGGTGATGGTATATGACTGGAACCCTGGAGTTCTACATGGAATTTTAACTGCTAACAATGTGTGTCATAAATATTGTGATCACTATGTAAAAACAGAGCAGTAGTACGGGCAACACTACCAGTGTGGAACCATCCATCAATCAGGACCTCCTTTGTAAGGTCTTCACGCTTGTAGTATCCTGAGAATAATGTTTCTCCCCTGATGCATATCTCTCCACGAGGCGTGCTCACGAGTGCATCGTAATCCATTTCTGGGACCGACTCCAGACGAACATCGATATTTGGCACTGGGGGGCCAACAGTTCCTATCATGGACATTTGATTTGGTAGCGAGACAAAAGATCCAGCACAAGTTTCCGTGAGACCTAAAAGGAAACAACATGAGTGAAGACATTCAAGTACGGGTATAGGTTGGAGAAGAGAAGCAAGTTCTGTTCATATCCTCAATAAAAGCATCATCAGCTTGTACGTGACCTAACTTGGCTAGAATATATTAAATTCTTACTATTCTTCTCTGTTTATGTTGAAATCGATTTAAAATTAAGTGCATGTCATGAAAAAATAAATAAAAGTGGACCATTCTGCTGACAGAATTTATTGGGTGATCGTTAACTACACCGACTACAAGCCAACAGCATTGGTGATGCTGCAAGCAGAAAACCAATAAGACACTCTTATCAATTAACTAAACTAAGCAGCCAACTATGACGTAGTAACTTAATTTACACAGTTACACCAATTTTCCATGCTTTCGTTGTGGATCCTAGACACTACTGAATTATAAGGGGCTCCAACTAGACAAACCGCAGCAGAAAAACGTCAGTACTCAGGACTCCCGAGTCAGGAGCAAGGTTTTAACATGAATCAATCGCAAGAGTAGGAATTTCTAGCTTTCACATCACAAAAGAAATGTACCATATCCTTGTAAGACATGTGCACATGTCACCACTCGCAAGTATTCTTCAACATGGGTAGCAAGTGGAGCAGCTCCAGATAAAATAACTCTAACGTTTCCACCAAGACCCTCTTTCACCTGAAAACCAAAGTTTTCTAAATGGTAAATAATCTAAAGAGCATACATAATCAAGAATTGTTGTCTGCCTAATTTGATTACCTTACTAAAAACTACTTTGTCACATATGGAAGCAGCTTCATTGTGCTTAGCTCCTCTCATCATTCTAAAATGCTTGCTGCAAAATACAATGTGGACTTAAATACTTTCACTTGTAAAATGTAAGTAACTGCAGGTACAGGCACTTATTGGTCAAAGAAAAAGGTTATCATTAGCAAACTCAGAAGAAATATTGATTTTAGAATATTTAGGACAGAAAACTTACAATTTGTAAGCAACATTAAACAGTGTACTCTTTAAAAACCCACCAGAGGAAATTTTTGCTTGTAGTCCTGAAAACAATCAGGTAAATGTGAGAAGAGTATACCCATGAACACGCAAAATTGCACAGACAGTGGTGGTTTCAAAGCCTTTTGAACAGTGAATGGAAACTGCACCAATAGATAGACAAAGACATCAGGTTCATGGATGAGCTTATACGAAAGACTGAAACAACCTCGCCTAACAATTCTTCCTTTTCTTTTTGAACACAATGGCAGGAGCTCTGCCTTTCAATTAAGGAGAAATATAATTGATCCAGTTTATGAGGAAACCAGGTCTGAAAACCTCACGGTCGCACAGTTTATAACAATTCTTCCTGTAGTGAGAGCACGAATGCAGATTCATAAATTAAATAACAGACTAATGGGGTAAGCCGTACAATCAGGACATGACGAAGTAGCTAAGAGACTAGAGACAATATGGATATATATAATCTACTAAGGTGAATAGTAGATTAGGGCATCTGGCTAAGGCATCTCAAGATTATTATGGGCCCACCAGATGCAGTTGTACAAAAAAAAAGGTGCAAGTTACACCATAAGCATTAATTAATAAGAAAGTGCAGAATAAGTACTTAATGAAGGAAACTAATAGACCTATAAGCATCAATGCCAAAAACAACCTGATAATAATCATACAGTACATTGTATTATTCTGCCGCTCATAACCACATTAGATATCTCATCCATGAAAATTATTTATGAGACGGAGACAAGCCATAACTAGCTCCTTACCAGAAAATATCCGATCAAGAACACGAGGAACAGCACACATAATTGTTGGTTTCAGCACACCAATATCTTCAACTAGCAGCTTAACATCCTGTGACAAAGAAGTTACAGTCACTAGAGGCCCAACAAAAAATGACAAAAAGGTATTCAGGTGAGAACAGTGTCATTGATGCTTACCCCTCGCCAGAATCCAATAGAGGCACCATGGAAAATAAACAATTCCTCCACAACACGATCAAAAATGTGTGCAAGAGGAAGGTAAGACATGTAAACGTCGCTTTCTGCCAACTGAAATTCTCATATTGTAGAAGATATTAAATGTCTGCCAGTGTGTAAGGTAAGGTCACATAATTGAAGAGCTTCAAGAACATCTCACCTCCTCGTTTTGAGAGCTAAGTAACCTGTCCACACCTGCAATGAGACAAATAATGCTCGCATTTGATATCAGTACTCCTTTCGGGTCACCAGTAGTTCCACTAGTATACATTATAGTGCATATATCTGACTTCTCCTTGACTGGAAGATCAAATTCTTGGTCAGCCGCCTGCAGATATGATCATGTAAACGGAAGGGTAAGCATAGTCAACAAATTTCTTATATGAATTGTACAGTTAAACCAATCACTAATCCATTTTGTGTCAGCCATAAATAGGTCACCGTAGTAAAAAGGTCATATCAACTAAAAAATTAAACAAACATTTAACTTTGGGTAATTTGTCATCAATAATGTACTATTGTATGATCATGCACAACAACAACAGACTAAGCTAATTTGCAATGTCAGAAGTCTTTGTTTTGATGTTCAGCGAATGACAATATGTATTTTCTTATGTGGTGATTCACTCGCATGTTGTGGATAGACACAACATTAGAAAGCTGTAAATCCATAATACCCGAATGAAACCAACAAAGAGCTCGAGCACCTTACCAGGGACAGAAATTCATCCCACGAGTACACTGATAGCCCATATTTGCGAACTTCTTCCTTCTGTTCTTGAGTTACCTTGCCGAAACTCACGATCGCTACAATAAGAAATGTATAATTTAGTTTCATGATATTTAGTTCTTGATGTTGGAATCCATCTAGGATATATCAAACTTACTTTTTAAGAACTCATTTGACTTGGGTAAAGTCTTCACGAGCTGCCCAAGTTGAAAATATTCAACATGCATTTAGACACACCAAACATATGTATCGATAATAGAACACAAAATATCATATCAGCGACACAACTCTCATAACTTTTGCGCAGAATACAACAATAAAAAGACCATATTGGAGGTATGCTTAGCTAGATATAAATTTTGACTCATGGAATGTATAACCAACATACTTAACCATCTAACCTCGTACAAACTATAACCCTAGCCCTCCTCCCTGGCTCCCTGCCCCCACCCACCAAAAAAAAAACCCTCCTCTGCATCATGACATCGTCTCTTCCACCTCCACCACACCGCCCAAATTATAGCTAGATTATAGAAAACTCTATACATGATTCTATTGATCGAGATAGGTGAACATGACACAGATTATACTACACACTGCAAACCTATTAATTCTGCATTCATGGTAAAGAACCATACCAGCTCAATTTTCTTTTCCTCGGCAAAAGCAATCTCAACTTCTGCATGGCACAGAATAAACTCTACCGCACCAGCTCCTACAAAATGAGTTTGGTCAATAAGAAAACTGAACTGTATTCAAGGCCCATTTCTCAAAAAAAAAAAAAAAAGAATGTGGTGCACCGATACTGCGATACACAACCAATAAAACCTAGCAAGATGAACTACAGACAGAAAATGGTGGACTCATTCATGTATAGCAAAATCTGAAGCCACGAAAATAGCAGAATATATACCAAGTGTGTCGTATAATGGAACACAGTAGATTCCATGGGCGTTGCAAGCCTGCAAAGGATAAAGATTTTAAGGTGAATAATTTGACAAGGGAAACTTATGAACACAGTGATTTAGTTTGTTCAGAATACAAACTTAGTGGATCTAATTTTTCCAGCCAAAATATGAGAACACATTGAATCAAAATCTGGTAACACAACATTTTACCTCCATTGTGATAATCCATTCAGGACAGTTAGCACCATAGATACCACAACGACTACCCTGCAAAATTGCCATATTGAAATTTTTAGTCAGCAAGAGATGGCACCAGTGCATCAAACTGATGTGCCTAAGGTGACCAAAAGTTCCCAGTGTTCTTCCAAAGCAGTGAAATGAAAAATACAACTTCTAGATACTCAGGTAAATTAGTATTGTGGCGAACAAAATAGCATAACACTAAGAACAGTGGCCAAACCTTTGCAAGTCCACAGCTCCTAATAGAGTAACCAATTTTGTTTGCAATGTCAAACACCTCCTTATATGTCTTCCAGACATATGCACCAGCCTATTACACGAGACAAATTGTCATTGGGCAAAACACCATATTGCTGGAGTCTTCCAGGCAACGGAAGTTGTTCACCGACTAGTTACCTTCCCATCAACAATCTCACGGTGGCCAAGCATTCTGTTGTTTGGATACTTCTCCACGGCCATGCTGTGCAAGGACCCACAGACTAAAGAAATTAAGTATGTGGAGACAAGAGGCCACTAAATTTATTGAAATGAAGAAAAAATAGGCCACCCCAAATTTAAGAGTTGTCAGAAAGTCAGAAGTAAATGCAAAGGGCCGACTTATATTCTGTTAATTCCCCTGGCTAATTTAAGAGTTGTCAGAAGCCAAAAATGCAAAGGTCAACAGTCGAACATAAATAAAACAAACATGAGACCGGTGTTGCATTGACACCAGGAACCATCTGGCATCAGCGTGCTGCACGTCCGAGCAATGCTACATGACAATACAGAATCGCATTCCACATTCCACATAAAGATTCCTCGTCAAAGTGCGTGACATGTTTGTATCGCCAGCCAGTTCTACTGATTCAGAAAGTTTTCTTCTGATATTTCCAAACTTGATTAACAGTTTTGCAGGACGATAGACGAGAATAAACCAAACAACTGCATGCAATGCCTACCGATCAACATATATTTAGATCTTACCCATCAGGAACTGCAAGGAGTGATCAGTAAAACGTAAGGCAAAAGGGGCAAATCTGGCAACAGAAGCAGAGAAGAGTGAAGCATCCGAGATTCGCTAGCTGCCTACGGAACGACGAAGGACGGGATCAGGAGCAACCGAGAACCTGAAAGAGTGATTGCATCACAACTGCCAAGCGAATCTGAAGTGTAACTAATCAGGATCTCAAAACATCCAAAATAAAAGGGAGGTCGGTGAGCATGCCAACTATCTCACACATAAATCCCATATATAATTGGATTATTATGTTTTTGGATCAAAAGCAACAGGAGCAGACAAACGATAAGCTAATCCACTGCTCCTTTTGTCTGTTCAGGCATGCTGGCATAAGCAAAGTTAGCAAACAGCTAACCGAAAATTTGAACATGTATCAAATCCAAATCTGCATGAAAGAGAACAGAGGCAAATAGATAAAAGGCATACATCGACGGCTTCTGATTAATCACCAGAAGCCAAAAACGGTTGCAAGCACTCTTCCACCACCCCTGGTCTAACGGCACGCTAGTGCAACGGCAAGCTCAAAAAAACCCCACTCCGCGCACGCGCAAAGACGGAACCGAAGCTCGAGGCGCGCGCGAGAGAGAGGGAAGGAGAGCTCACCGGAAGATGTCGTAGCAGTTGTCCATCCCGGGGACGGGCGGCGGGAATCCGTCGCGGGCGAAGGCGCTCCGGTAGGTGGGCCCCACGGACGGCCGGCCATCGGCAGCCGGGCGGCCCGGCTCGACCTCCACCACGTTCTGCATCTCGCTCGCTCCTCGGCGCTCGTGAATCGCAGCGTCTACCTTGGACTCCTCCGTTCGCTCAGGAGCGACGAGCGAGTGGGGACTCGATTGCTGGACGCTAGCAAACCGGGACCGCCGGGGTGTGTTAAAAAGGAAAAGCCGCTGGGGGTACAGGGAAAGAGACGGCGGACGCGGGCCCATCTGACATGGGGCGGGGTATCCGGGTGGGTGATGTTGGGTGGCAAAGCTCGTGCGAGCTTCGGCGGGTATTCGGGTGGGTGAGGTTGGGTGACCAAAGCGTTGCACTGTGGGTTTCTTTCTCGTCAAGCTCCACGAGTTCACTCGCTGCGTGACGCGTGCACGGAAATGCTACTACTTGTGTGTGGTCGGGAAATAATTGGTGTCGTGGGTTCTTTTCTTCGAGCAAGAAACTGAGAGAATTTTATGTCATACTACCTGAAAGCGAAAGTTGCAGAAGTTTCGTCGTGTTTGTCCACGGTGTCAGACTCTCGAAGAACTACTGACGTCTCGACAATATAAACTTGCACTAGCTTAATATGATAAATATGAAGAAGAAAAATCACAGCACGCAACTCTGAAAAATCGTATTATTATAAGAGATGTATAGACTATAGTAAAACATGCGCTATCTCTTAAGCTTCACGTTAATCTTTTACTTTTTGTACTAATAAAAAGGTAGTTCAACTAGCTCTAAATTAGACGATTGAAGACGTTTTTGTTGTAATGTTTCTACTTGAAGACATTAATAAGTAAATAATTTGAAAGAAGGAAATGTTTTCGTGTGGATAGCTAATTTACAATGAGTATGTCCTAAAACTCATGGCCCTGTTCGTTTCGCTGAAATTTGACTTATGCTGATAAACATTGTTCGTTCGTTGAAAAGTACTGCTGAAATAGTTCAAGCGAACAGGACCCATATTTTATTGGATACTCCCTCCGTCCAGAAAAAAAATGCAATTATGAGATCCATGCCTGTTAAAGTAGCTCAAGTTTGACAAAGTTTATAGCAAATAGTATTAATACTTATGTCTCCAAATAATTTTTTTATGAAAATATATTCCATGACTAATCTAATGATACTAATTTTGCATCATGAATGTTAGTATTTTTTATATAATTTTGATCAAAGCTGATTGAGGAAGCGAGAATTGCATTTTTTTCGTGCACAGAGGGAGTATTATATAGTGTGTATATAGACAAATATAGTGAAACGGAAAGAGTAGTATAAAATGTACGCAAAAAGGTTGCAAAATTATGATATTCTGCAACACTGGTTGAAGCCGAATCTATCCGTCTTCAAAAGTTGACAATCTAAATCTTCGAAGGGATATGAATAGTTAGAGTTCAAAAATGTTGACCCAACTTGATCAAATACAACAAGCTTGTAAAGAGTACTATCAACATTTCCCATCTCTAACTAAATATATGCTCATAGAAATTAAAATGATTATAAATAAACAGTTGATATATATGTCAGGGTCTCAGTAGAATGAATTCATTAGAGGGTGTTTGATCCACATAGCTAGTAGTTCCTATCTATTAAAAAATAGTTGTGTGGATCCAAACAAACCTAGCTAGTTGTTATTGGACAGTCGACTAGCAATTATCTTATTATCTGCCTCATGCTCAGTGCCGGCCCTAGGTGTAGGGCACGAGGTGCAACGATCGAGGGCCCAAGCGGAGGAGGGGCCCAAGCCCAGGTATACGAACCCCCAAGTCCTATAATCCATTAGGCATTAGCAAACTAATAAGAAGAGAGACATAGAACTGGCCAGGTGACCAAAAAAGACAACATCAGCATTTCTTTCCTAGTTTCCTTTCCCCAAACCTCGGGTAGAGAGGAGGCGAGGAGTCACGCTGCACACAACACACTCTGATCGTGAGTTCACGACGTGCGCCTTACACACGCGGAGCTGGCGAGCCGTGCCACCGCGAAGAGCTAAACTACCGGAGACACGGACACGGCGCACGAGGACGGCGACCAGGCAGGGCTCCACGGCGATGACATTTTGATTCTTGGCTTCTTATGAATTACGATCACCGATCAGTTGTTTAGGCCCAAGGTATTTTTTTTTTTTTTTTTTAATCTAAATTAATTATTTGTATAGTATTCCAGACTTCTAGTACTTTGTACTCATATAGTCATATTTTTCTTCTAATTTATGTGTTAGAATTTTAGAATGTTACTTAAAAAATATTTGTCATGGGTGAGAAAAGAAAACGAATATATTGCTTTTTTAATCTACATTGTTTCTCGATAATTATCATACATCTACAAATATATTGCTTAATCTACATTGTTTCTCAATAATTATCAGACATGTTAAATTAAAAATGTTATTGAATTTACTTTCGTTTTACAAGTAAAATTAACGTCTATATATTATAAGATTTTATATATGATAAGAGGGGTTGTTGTGATGAAATCGTCAGAGAGCCCTTAAAATCCTAGGACCGACACTGCTCATGCTAGCTAATAGGAACTAATGGGTCGGCAAAATACACTTTTGGTCTCCCACCTACCTCTATCTATGTGCTCTCCCAGTAGCAGCTAAAAGAGGAAGGGCATTATACACAAAACAATCAGCGCATTCACCTTTTACCTACTGGATCCAAATAGCACACGGCTAATAGTTAGCCATATTAGCTGGCTAACTGTTAGCCAGGTAACTGTTAACTACTAATAAATCTAAACATAACATAATACCTAAAGATTAATTAGATGACACCTAGAAATTTATTTGACGGCAAAAGGTTAAATAAGAGATAATAAACCGCATTTTTTTGTAGAGACATAGTGAAAGTGCAATCAAGCTTTAATTGTGTGTTTTGGTGATAATGACCACGTAATTAGAGAACTAATGAGATTTATCGAGATGATAAGCAGGGAATTTATATTCGAGGATGCTACACGAAACGGAGGAGCCCCCAATTACAAATGTTGATGGCTTCAAACTCAAAGGATGTTTAAATTCTTTTACATTTTGAATTTGAGTATAGGAAAAGCCGTACTATAAAATGGGACACAATACTTAAGCTAACATGTGCTATAAAGTGCTCAAACATACACATGCATCCTCAGATTCACAGCCAAGACAGCCTAAACTTCACTCTTACCCTTGCTGTCTTGACTGGTGCGGCACTGCCGCATTTGAAGAGAGGCACTGCCGCACTTAAGCCGTGGCACTGCCTCGACTTAAATGACCGTTGGGGCTGAGGGGGTACTTATACCCATCCTCTTCCTCCCCAACGACTATCTTCTTCCTTATGCTCATTTTAGCTCGTCCAAAATAGAAAAGGAGCCCTCTCGCTCCCTCCATTAGTGACCTTGAGCCCTCAAGCAAATTCATTGATTTCTCCATCAATCCTCGAGACAAAAGGGTCCAAAACTCGATTAGAGAGCAGCTCCATTAATTCCTCAACTCAAAAGAGCATTTAGTTCACGTTTTGGCCGGTGGTTGTGTTTGTTACTCTTGAAGCTTGGCTCCTAGCCGGCTAGAGCGTCGCCTGTGGAGCTTGCCAACTTGTGTGCAGCCCCGGGAGGTTTGTAACCATCTCTTGAAGCTAGTAAACTCATCTCTCATCTCAAGAGTTAAGTCTCTTGACTTGAGAACGAGGAAGGATTGGAAAGCCCTAAGCCTTAGTGGCTAACCTCAACAACGTGGACGTAGGCAAGCCTTGGTGACGAGCTGAACCACGAGATAAATCATTGTGTCTCTTGTGCTTGATTTATATTACTTGCATGTCATATTATTGTTGAGGTGATTTCTAGGGTTTCTAGTCGATCTACTTGTGTGTGGTATCCCTACTACTTCTAACTCTCGATCTGTGACTATCATACCTGCAGTAAGCTGAGAAATTTCTCCGATCTAAGTTTTCGTTCACTGATTTTGAACTGTGACTCAAAGTTGTCTGCAGGTGTCTAATACCCCAGGTGTTTGTCACCAGTTAAGCAATGGGTTTGAGCTCAAACATGGCATATTAAGTAATGATGAAGATGTCAAGGTCAAACCTATGGAAATGAGCCCGAACCTAAACTTGGATATTGCACCCTTGCTTTACATATAGGCCCTTTTCAAGATATATGCTTGGCTGGTGTTATTGGAATATCTTCATGTGTCTCACATCAATACCCATCTATATTAATCCATGGAAAAGTTTCGTGAAGTTTGGAATCAAGAAGTCACATGAAATGACGAGTTATGTCCTTGCTTGAATTATTTTATAAAGTGAATGGAATTCTCGACCGTCAACCAAATCTTGCAACTATGCCCAAATGACTCTAGATGAACTCTACAACAAAAGTCATGAAAGGTTCATGTTGGGCAAATGACAAGAAAATACCTCAATCGGTCTAAAACTCGGATTTAAGCTTTACCCTGATGCTACTTTGATCGGTGTTGACCAATCACTTACAGTGCTTGCATGGAGTTGCACCTTAAATAAAAGTTGAAGTTTGAGTATTGTACAACAAAATTTGTTTTTAGACCAAGAGCCAGATCAACTTGAAACTAAGTCAAACCGAGGCTCAAACTTTGAATCTGCTGTTGTTTTCAGAGTCCAAAAATATTCTAAGTCTGAGTTAACTGCAACCTGAATTTTTAGTTTCGTGTACCTCACTTCAGGTCCTTCTATCTCTCTAACCAGGCCTAATTAGACTTTGAAGCTTTAATAAAAGTTGAAGCTCGTATATAGATCTACAACTTTTATTAATAGAGTTTTTGCTAACTCGTCGTGGTTTAGGAGTTACGGAGGCACGAAGTATGGGTTTCAGTGGTATGTTTGAGGTAGAATTGGAAATTTGAAATTGATGAACAGTGTCGACCGTGCACCAGGCGCTGCAGGTCGCGTGGTGCTCTCCCTGCTTGCATGGCCGCCAGCTCCTCCTTGCTGTGCTCCAGCAAAGGACCCGAGCTCCCCTACCCTCTCCACTCTCTCCCTCTCCCTTCCCCTTCCCTCTCCTACTTCCACAAGATGGCACCATGCCGCCGCCATGAACG